TGCTGTGAGCTAGGCTGACGCCACGGCACTCACTCTAGCCTGGACAACAAAGCGAGACTCTGTCTCAAAAAAAAAAAAAAAAAAAAAAACTTACCTATTGGGTACAATGAACACTATTCTGGTGATATGCACACCAAAAGTTCTGACTTAAGCATTATATAAGATACCCATGTAACAAAAACACTTTTACCCCCTTAATTAATTTATTTTGAAATTAAAAAAATATTCTACTTCCAGGCTGCCTGCAGTGGTGTGTGCCCTGTAGTCCTTGCTACTTAGGAGGCTGAGGTAGAAGGATTGCATGAGGCCAAGAGTTCCACACCAGCCTGAGCAACACAGCAAGATCCTACACCCTGCCCACTGCCAAACTCCACTTCTAATAATATATATGTTTATAGAAGTGGTTCTCAAACTTTGCTGTACATCAGAATTACCTAGAGAGTTAATAAAGAACACAGGAATGGCAAGCTGGTTGAAGGGTAGGGCCCAGCCTTTGTATTTTATGAAGTACCTAGGTGATTCTGCTACTCAACAAAGTTTAAGGACCACTGCCCTAAAGCAGGGGCCAGAAAAGTTAGCCTAAATACCAAATCCAGATACTGCCTGTTTTTGTAAACCAAGACGTTTTAGAATATAGCCCACCTATTAGGTATTGTCTATGGAACCTTTTGCACAGTGGCAGGATTGAATAGCCACGACAGAAATCAGATATCATATGGCTGCAAAGCTGAAAATATTTACTATCTAGCCCTCTACAGAAAAGCCTGCCAAGCCTGGAGGAACACTTTGTACTGGGAGACATATATAAGGATGTTCACTGTGGCAATGCTTGCCATAGTGAAATTTTGAAAACTCCTCAATGTAGGTAAAAAGGGTAATAATATTTTAAGATATACATATATAATGAAATACTAAACAGGTAAAATTTACTAGATCTTTATGTATTAATATGGATAGAATGAAATAACAAGTAGAAGAATATGTACAGTATGATGCTTTTCATATGCATTTTATACACATAATTATGTATAAAGATATTAAAAAATAAACTGGAATGACATATCAAATCCATGATAGTACTTGCCTATAAAGAAGCAAGGGGAAAGAGACAGGAAGGAGAACAAAAGGGACCTCAACTCTATAATTTGTTTTTATTAAAACATTTAAAGTAAAAAAGTGACAAAGATCTAAAGATTTGTTAATACTAGAGTATATGACTATTTGCCATAATATACTCTCTGGGTTTTGTTTTACTCAAAATTAAAACCAGAAATAGCCTAAAATATTCAATTACAGAGAAACGTTACTGAACATTGACATTCCAACACAATAGAATATGATGCAACATTTTAAAATGTGCATGAAGAAAACACAACGTAAGAAATAATTGATTGTCCTAATTAGCATAGGATTCAAAATTGTTCATGCAGTAAGGTTACAATTATATTTTAAACAACAATAAAAACTAAGTGCAATCCATTTTTGTGGTCTTGCTCTTGTTCAGGCTGGTCTTGAACTCTGGACCTCAAGCAATCCTCCTGCCTCAGCCTCCCAGAGTGCTAGGATTACAGGTGTGAGCCACTACATCTGGCTGGGTTGTTCTTTTTGTCAACATATATACATACAAAAATTACTTAAAAAATAAACTGTTAACAGTAGATATGTTTGGCTTTATGATATTCTTTTTCTTTGTCTTTTATTTTCCAAATAATATCAACTGAATACATACTACTTTAAAATGAAATACAACTCATTTTAAATGACCGTGTGTGGCAGACAGAGCTAACTGCATACCCAATATCCATTCTCCTTTCTATTTATGCTCAGTAACACTACATTTCCCAGTTTCTCTTAAAAATGAAGGTGGCCATATGATATATAGTTCTAACCAATGAGATGCAAAGGGAAATTGCTAGGTGCAGCATCTTGGAAAACTCTTGAAAGGAAGTAGACCTGACTGGCCTTCTCCTTGGCCCTATTTCCTTTCACCTCCTTCTTTCTTTAAATGAGAATGTGAAGCAAGTGAGAAGGTGAAGCAGCCATCTTACAAGCATGGAAACAAAAGCCACTCGGAAAATGATGGCAGAGGGGAAACTCAGGAGGAGCCTGGATTCCTGAAGGCATTATAGAGCCACTGCACGACCCTGGATGGCAAACTACTAATACTTCCAGTTACATGGAAAAAAAAAAAAAAAAACCTTACCTGTTTAAGCCTTTCCCTTACATGCAGCCAAATACAGACTTTAACTAATACATCACTGTAAAATTAAGTGTTAACAAATGATACTACTGAAAGATACTGTCAAGATATTATAATATAATCTATACTACCTTAAAGGAGAAAAGTGAACCTCAAAAACTAGGTTGAAAGCTACAAGCTAGTCAATATAAGAACAAAGACCAGAATTTTAATATCACTTAGGTGAATAATTTTTCCAAAGTAATAAAATCAAGTCCACTTTAATAACCTGGTTTGAAAATAACATTTAATATATTTTTTTCAAATAGCATTTTAAAATATTACACATATACTGGTCAACAAGCAGTGTCCATCCTTTTTGTTACCCATAAGCAAACCTGCAGTTTGAAGTTACTCATAGTATCAATTTCATAACAGCAATTTCATAAGTATGCCTATATAGGCTACTCCTAAAGACTAAACAATCCACAAGGATAAAAATTCAGGAAATTTAAAAATAGTATTCAAATGCTTACTCTATCCCACAAAAAACAATGAATTTAAGCCCTTTTTTCTAATTATCAGTTTAACAGGAAACCTAAAATATGTTTGCATTACATCAATATTATATGTCTGAATTTCACAAATATTGTTCTTTATATCAAAGAATAAGACTCAGTATACTGTATATCCTTAAATAAGAGAAATATTTGACTGGATCTAGGATTCTTGGATCCCAGTGCTTTTTGCTCAGTGTTTGAATATTTCCATCACCAAATCCTTGGCTAGATTTCTAATCCCTGCTGGTCACACTTTTCCTGGATTCCACTGCGTAAGAAAACCCAAATACTGTGCAAGGCATCTGCCTACAAGAATAGAGGACCAGTTCTATTTATGCTGAACTTTCATTCTCTTTCCTTTCTGCTTGGTCTGTGGCCCCACTCTTGGTTGTGCTATTTCTTCAGTTCTTTACTGAAAAGAAATAAAATTTTCTGCCTCTGGATATAAACTTCTCAGATTATCACATTTTCTTCAAGAAGAACACAAATCCATTAAGAAAAATAAATGTACTTTCTGCCAACATGAATATGTTATAGAGTCTCAGGATATAGACAGAAAACCAATTAAATGCTGCTTAGATATGCTATACAGCATTTTAGTGATACCAAATTTCTTGAGCTAGGACTAGGGCTGGGTTATCAAGAGGCAGGTAGCCAGAATATTTTATATTCTATAGGTAGTATTTTATACTTTTATGTTCTGTAGATAAATTTGACATTCTACCTGCAATTAAGAAAAGGCAGTAAGCTTAAAATAGCCCTAGCAACAATTTCTAAATGCCACAAGAGGGGGATATAACTCTAAGAAAGAAGTGAGGAAAAAAAAAAAACAAAACACCACTTTATAGGTTTCCCAATTAAAAAAAAAAAAGAAATATTTTCCTGACTTTCCAAGATATAGAAATAAGGATATTTCTGGGCTAAAAATAACAGAGAGGTATACAAACAAACAAACAAACAATTTCTTCTTGATTCATTATTAGCAAAAATGCAGTATTTCTTTATATTTTTCACTAAAGGTTTGCAGTTAAAGAGCAATATTCATAAATGTTCTGGTCCTCATTATAGCCATCAACTCAGTACCTATAGCCATTCAAAAACTACTTGTTGTTATTTCTGATAAGCACAATAGAAGAAGGGCTGTTGGTCTAGCAGAGTGTAGTTAAATGGGTGCAGGCTTTGTCAGAGGGAGAGAATCTGGTTCCACACCTCTCGATTGTGTGAGCCTGGGCAAACCACTTCCCCTATTTTAAGCTTAGTGTCACTTGCATTAAAGGGAATAATAGTAAATGTTATTTTACAGGATTGTTGCAAAACTAAGATAAGGCACATGAATTTAATTTATATACTATGTAAATTTAATTAAAAACATCATCATTATTATAATATTAAGTCCTACCAATTCAGCTGAGTATTACATTTTCATTTTTATCAAAAGTACACTTGATTTTTCATAATATTTCCATGTTTTTATGAGTACTCTTAAAATAAAAATTCAGCAAGAGTTCTGAGGAAAAGGCTATTTCTAAATATGCTTTATACCCAACATAAGTCATGCTTTGGACCTTCTCTACATTTTTAAAGGATAGATATTTGAAGGAATGAAAAGCAAAATGAATGTGCTTTGTAAAATACAAAACATATAAATTTAAGTAATTTATTAGGGATTAAAATGAACTCTTAAAAGAGGGAAAAGATATCACTAAGGGCAACCAGAAAAAAAGTAGATAGCTCAGCTTAATGAGGTTTCATGTTTCTTGCAGGGTAATTTTATGGGTTCTCTGTTGTATTTTATACATATTTTATGTGTGTGTGTGTGTTTATGTATATAAATGTGCGTGTGAGTGTTGTGTGTACATATGTACACATGTATATGTATATTACAGAGGAACTAGAATAAGAATGTTTTTAGATAGGTAGAAGATATGTATTTCTGTGTTAAATAGCTCTTTAGGGTTGCAAGGAAAAGATACACTCAGGTTTCCACCCAGCCTGACTATTGAGATTCCTTTTCTTCAATTTTGTTTGTTTGCACCTACACCAGAATACCTGCCCAGCTTTATAAGAGGGAGATTAAGCTGGCAACCTTATTACAGGATTCTTCGCATGCAACAAACAGTTCCCCTAGATAAAATATTTTATTTAGACCTCGCCACAGCCTTTTAACTTTTGTTTGGCTTATGTCTGGGGGTTGGCGGGGGGGGGGGGAGGTACACAATTTCCTTCAATTTTTTTTGTTTATTTAACCATTTTTTACTCACCACTGGCATTTGTTCATAGACACGAATAGAAGATAGTCTATCTACAATAAAGCAGATATGAGCAATTGATATTTTATCTGTTTTAACTCAACTTATAAAACATACTTATGATTGCTTGTGTACCTGAAGGATTGCCACGCATTTTTGCCATTTTCTCTTTGAGAGAAACAATTTGCTTTTCTAGTTGATCATTCAGTTCCAGTTGTGTCTCATAACGGGTTTTCCATTCACCACCTTAGTAAAAAGGGGAGGAAAAATCAAGACCACCTCATTATCTCTCATTTATTCATTACTGTACTTGACTTCATTAGCAATACAGATGAACTACTGTGTTTTCCTGAAAATAAGACCTACCCATAAAATAAGCCCTAGCAGGATTTCTAAGCATTTGCGCAATATAAGCCCTACCCCGAAAATAAGACCTAGTGATGGGCGTGGCTAGGTGGCTATATGCAGAGCCCGTGCATTTCGTTGTGGAGCAGTAAAGAAGATGAGCAGCCCTTCTCATCTGCCCCATCGTAACAGCTACTATCCCAGAGGTGACCCAAAAGGTGCGGGCAGCCCCACCAACAAGATCGGCTCCCTGATCAGATGTCAGGAGATGTCAGGTCCCCACCATCCTGTGCATGCTGCAAGCTGAGGCTTTGAGGGAAAAATAACACATCCCCTAAAAATAAGCCATAGGGTGTCTTCTTGAGGAAAAATAAATATAAGACCCTGTCTTATTTTTGGGGAAACATGGTAGAAGAAAATAATTATTAAGTATGTATTTCTATGTTAGACAGGATTTTCCATATTGCAGGGACTAGACCAGACCCACACTCAGGCTACCACACAGCCAGACCTCACCACGACTATTGGGATTCTGGTTCTTCCTTACTCCCACCCCTTTTATCCTTTACTTCCTCATGTATCCTTATAATGAATTACATTAGAGAGAATATCAGGAATTTGTTTCTTCCCTTGGATCTTGAAATGTCCATATATATACATCTTCATCTAATGTCATGTTCAAGTTTGCCATGTATAAAGCATACAATGCTTTACAGATATTAAATATTAATTAATTTAATCCTCATTTTTAAAAAGTTAGTTTCCTATTTTACAGATAAGGAAATTAAGGCTCAGAGATGTCAAATAACATTCTTAAGGTGACAGAGCTAATAAATGCAGACTCTGGACTTTAAACCCAGTTTTTCCTGACTTTGAAATCATATCCTCTTAACTACTAAGCTAAATAAACACTGTGCACATTTAGCTGTCTTCTCAGGCATTTTCTCTGAACCTTAAGTAGTTTTCTTTCACTAAACCTCTTTGGCTATAAAAGCCAAAGCATTTATCTTATGTCTGGGAGAAAGAGAAAATATGGCCTAGAATTGAAAGCCTTTGTTCAGCCTCAAAACCCAAAGGTAAGTTTTTTGAGTCTTGAAAGTCAGGCTTTGTAGAGAGAAAAAAGACGGCTTCTTTATCGGCTTTAAATGCTCTTTACATATCTTGAGATAATTTCTGCTACATAATAGTTGATGGAGAAGTCAAGGAGAGAATAATCACACACACACCACTGCCAACTTCCTCAATCATGTCACAGGTCTCCCTTATACCCTCATGTCTACACTCTACACAAATGTGGTCCACCAAAGAAAGAGGTTGGATGGGCATGGTGGTATATGTTTGTAGTCCCAGCTATTCAGAAGGCTGAGGAGAGAATATCTCTTGAGCCCAAGGAGCTCGAGACCTGCCTGGGCAATACAGCAAGACCCCGCTAAAAAAAAAAAAAAAAAAAAAGAGAAAGAAAGGGGCCCAAATAATTCCCCCCCAAAACTGAAACTGTGAGTCAGTAATTCAAATGTTTTAGGGAACAAGAGAGGAGAAGCACTGAAAGACTGAACATTTATCCATAAGATACCATAGAGCCCAAATAGACAGAATCATCTTTACAACTGGCTAGCTGAAGTCTTTGTCCTCGTATCTCCTTTACCACTATGGGAATGGGGGATTCAGAGCAAGATGAGAATAATTACAAAAAAAAAATTTTTTAAATGCAATTTATTTTTAGCATACCTGAGTGCAGTTTATAAATTTGATCCCAGTTTAACTTTAAAATATTATTGACCTAAAAATCATCAAACAGAAATAAGCCAAATAGTATACAGTTATATACTAATGTTAATGAGTACAAGGTCTTAGAGGTAATGGCATCAACATCTTCCTCAATGTGGTGAAGTGATCTCCAAATGTATACTTAAATGTGTAATTCCTTCAACATACACAGATGGCTCCAGACTATAGAATACAAAAGAACAAAGAGAAAGGCATATGGACTACTGAATTAAGGAGAAAATTTTAAAACAGTAGTGTATATAAAAAATGGGAAGAAAATTATCTTAGGTTGCTATAGAGCGGCTTTGTGACTTTCATGGGCTCTAGGCACTTTTGCCTCTTTGGGCATTTTCCTCCATAAAAAATTATTTAAAATTCTATTTTATTACTGTGTTGGTATAAAGATAAATGTAATACAGCCCGACATACTTATTTTTTCTTCCAGTTTTAAAAGAAATTAAAATAACTCACAGGCTTCTAAAATTATCATGAACCCTACATACGGTACCTACTGTGCTTGAGAGATAAGTCAGCCCCTGGGTAGCTATAAAAGGTCATCTTCCTAATAAAGAATACAAATTAATCAGAGTTCATAGCAAAGAATAATCGGCTCTTAAACTATCTAGGCAATAGGTAATCACTGAGACTGATTTCTAGAATTTTAAATTGACATATCTTTGACATTTTGCAAATAGTTCATTTCTACATCAAATCTATCCTACCTGTACTAATTATTGCTGCATTGTCAAAGTTGATCTGAGAATGCAATGCTGTTTTGATGAATTACAATGAGGAGGGATCCACATAAAACAGAGGAAACTGCTTTAGAGAAATCTCTAGAGGAATTAAGTAACTCAGCCCACAAATGACAGAAAATGACAAGAGAACTATCAAATAAATTAATGCTACTTATTCATTCCAAGTCAATTATGTCCCTAACCCCAGTCAGATAATGTGTATGTTATTAACAATTCATTAATTAAAAGACACTTATGTGAAATTGCATAAAAATAAAGAGTATATAACTCACCAAAACCTGCAGTCATGACTGACTTACATGGCTAACACTACTAAGGTAAATGTGTGGGAATTTCTGATCTTTCAACGAGTGGATGGAGTTCCACAAAACTGGAGATCAAGCAAATTTTTGTTTTCTTTTCACAAAACAGCATTGGCTTCCAGAAATCAGGTCAACATCCTAATTATCAACTGTTTTTTTTTTTTTTTTTCTAAAAATGGACCACCCTGAGTTTTACTTGCCCTACCACACTTTATTCTGTGATAACTCAAAAGTGCCAAAAATACTTAAGTTTGTAATCTTTGCAACATTCTTCATCTGTCTTTAAGATACAATGATGTTAAAACTATGTTTTCAACTGGAAATAACACTGATCATTAGAAATAGCAAGTGTCTGGAATAGACTCGATATCACAGGTAGTTCCAAACTATATGAAATCAGTCCAAGTAAGAGATGTGGTGTTGTCTTTGAGACTGCTACAATAAACTTGAAACCAAAAAGGATGATCCCTTACCTTGAGCATGCCAAGTCAACCTAACAAGGTCTTAGATACACTTATAAAAAGTCATTATTTAAAATACAGGTTATGAGTATAAACATTTATCAAAAACATTTGTGGATCTTAGAGGAGGAAAAAAGAAAAAAATAATCTCAGCAATAACTCCATGAAACCATCACTCCTGCAGCAACTCTAAAAACAAACAAAACAAAAACCAAGAAACAGGCATTGTACATTTTAAAGAAAAAAACCAAATTGTTTTATAATCTTATAGAGGGACCTTGGCTAGGACCAATACAATGAAAAACAAAATTAAACAAAAAATTGAAAAATTCCATGACTTGACCTTTGAAGGGGAAGTTCATAAAGCAGAAGAAAATTAGGTTCTATCTTTTAGATAAGAATTTTTATTTTTAGTTTTTATTTTGCCAAAGACAAATAGCAATGTTAACAAACACACAAAAAAGCCCCATCAAACAAAAATGCCAAGTAATACATTTTAAAGTGTTAAAACACAGTTGAATTGGTTGGAAATTGACTATAATATGTCTTAGTCCATTTGTGCTGCTGTAACAAGATACCTGAGACTAGGTAATTTACAAAGAGCAGAATTTATCTATCACAGTTCTGGGGGCTGGGAAGTCCAAGATCAAGGTACCATGCATTTGTCTGATAAGGGCCTTCTTACTATGTCTTTATGTGGCAGAATAGAAGAGCAAGCTAACCAAATGCTTTATGAAACCTCTTTTATAAGGGCCTTAATCCCACTAAGGAAAAAAGAGCCTTCATAGCATAATCACCTCTTAAAGTCCTCACCTCTTAATATCATCATATTAGCAACACTCGAATTTTAATTGTTGGTCACTATATTTATAATGATTACACCAATGAAGTTATGTTAATTTGAAAAGACTTTGTGAAAGAAGAAAATGTTTTTAATAAAGAAAGGAAAAAGTCTAATATGGCACTGTACTATGCACTAGGGATACAAAACTAAAATAGATATAGTCCCTGCTGTCAATCAGCAGTAGGACTAGTCAGCAGAAAAAAACATACAGCCACAACATTTGAGACAAATTTTGGTTAAGGAGATGCTATGAAATACCTTCCAGACAACCAATCTGGAAGGTGGTAGAAAGAAATTACAGATGGGGAGATCAAAGTTGAAAAAAGGTTATAAAATGCTTCTTGAGAGAAATGACCCCTGATCTAAGTCAGAAATGGTGAGAAAGGTTTTCAAGCAGTGAGAACAGCATGAAAATAGCAACATGTCACAAAAGGAGGGGCCATAGTGGTACAAAGTATCTCTCTTACGGGTAAAGTTACCCCTGCCCCAATTTTCAGGTGATTTTTATGAGGAAAAAAATCTTGAAGTAAGATTAATGGGTTTGAGTCATATCTTAACCACTTACTAGCTTATTGATGTGATTCAGAGCAAGTTCTTACCTTTTTTGTGGCTCAGTTTCTCATCTGTAAAATAAGGATAATTAAAGTTCCTATCTTATAGGATATTGGGAAGATTAAGTAAAACATGTAAAATGCCTAGAACACTGCAGAAACACAGAAAACACTATAAAAATTGTTTTCATTGTCATTTTCATTACCATCCTCATTATAAAAAATTTATTCTAGAAGTGCTTTCCAAAGACATAGCAGTAATGTATAAAAATGACTGTTTCACTCTTTTAAAAAATCTCTTCTTTGATAGGCAACAAAGTTTGTACAAAATTTATTAGCTAGAAGACAAGTTATTTTTCCATACTCATGAATTGTCTCTTTATGTTCCACTCATATTTATCTATTGGAAACTTAGTGTTTTCTAATTGAATTGCAGAAGATATAGATGTACTGAAAATATAGATCTTTTGTCCATCATCTTGGCTACTAATATCTTTCCCAGATCGCTGTTTTTGATTCTCATGTGTGCCTTTTTTTAGTCAAAGAGAAACTACTTTTTTTGAAGTCAAATCTAAATATAATTCTCTCAGTGATTTATTACTCTTAAACTAAGAAAGGCCTTCTTTATCCATGACAGATATATAGTCATATATATTTTCTTGTCTCAATTTTTTAATTTATAAAAATGGAGGTAATGATACTTTTTCAAAGGATAATTGTAAGGTTTCAATTTTTAAAAATGCACTTAAAGCTCTACACAAATACTGACTCTTCTCATTTTTACAAAGCAGTCACCTGAACATTCTCTTTCCTGTTGTCTTGTCACTAGAATTTGTGATGATGAAATTCAAATTAAAACATAAAGCTACTTTTTATATATATAGTTTCTTGTGAATCCTAAAGAACTTCAAGAGGCTATTAAGGGAACGTGAAGCCTTTTGGAGTTGGTTGTGTTTGCTGTTTCACCTAAAATGTTAATCAAGTTATGAGGCTGATTAAATAAGAATAAGCAGATGAGAAAGAGTAGAAATCAAAAAGTACTCTTTTGCTATACATGGGGCAGTGAAAAGGATGACAGTTGAAGAGGAAAGGTGGGGCCAAAAGAGAGTTTTCATTTGTTCTTGAGAATGATCCAGTGAAGCAGGGAAAACAGATGGTGCAGGAAAGAGGGGGGACCAGGGCTACAGTGATATGCTTGAATAGATGAGAGAAGCTAGGATCTACTGCACAAGGGGAGGAGATAAGAATAAGGACAGACCATGCATAGGAGTAAGAGGGAAGATGTTCAAAGACACAGGTAGGTGGTAGCTTTGTTGGTAAAAACATGGAATACTCTTCTGATTGCTTTTCTTTTTCTCTTAGAAAAATGAGGGAAAGCTCATTAGCTGACAGAATGGCAGGGAGAGGTGGTGGAGGTTTGAGGAGAATGGAAAGGATGAAGAATTATCTAAACAGTGAGTGTACCCATAGTTGTCACATCTGCATGTACTTCTTTTATAATGTTAAAACAATGCTAAATTTATTTTAAAACTTCTTTTAAAATAGGATATAACAAAAAATTATTCTCAATGTATATATTTTAAAAAAAAACTTCTTTAATATTGCCCTGTTGCCTTCAGGATAAATGAAAATTCATTAGTATCATATTTAAAGACTTTTGATTTACCTCTTTCATAAGCCTTAATCTCAACTCCTATCATATTGTTTCTCCATCCTTATTAATTACTTAGTGTTCTCCTCAAATGGCTTTATGTTTAATGCCCCTGTGGCAGATTGTACTTTCCAAAGATGACAACAGTAAAATTTCCCATCCCATATGCTGTTCTGTAATGTGACCTTGAAAAGCAGAGTTTATTTTTCCACCCTGTGGCATTTGTGACTGTTTTAAACAACAGTCAGGCATATATACAGTGGATATACGCCTGTGCCAGTTCTGGGAGTAGCGCTTAATTGGCCTGGCAGTTTCTACTCGTGATTTTTTGGAATGCTTGGAACACAGCTACCATGCTGTGAAAACCAAAAGGTACAAGAGGAATTTCTGATAGGCAGTCCCAGCTGGGCTCCAGTCAACAGCCAGTATCAGATGCTAGCCATGTGAGTGAGTCATCTTGGAATGACCAGCTGAGTTGAAGCTTCAGATCTCTGAGCCTCAGATAACACTTGATTGCAACCAAATGAGGCCCCAGTCAAGAACCATGCAGGTAAACCAACTCAGTTAAGCCATTCAATTGTGAAATAATTCATTGTTTTAAGCTCCTAAACTATAGGGTAGTTTGTTATGCACAGTAGACAACCAAGTTTTGAGTGATGTGGTAGATGGCAATTGTAGAAGTAATAGTAGTAATGGTTGATAGATGATCTAGGATCAAATCATGGCTTTGACACTCCTTGACTATGTGGTCTTAAAAGTTATTTAAATTCCTGGATATCACTTTTCTGTAAATGGGAATAATAATAATCACCTGACCTAATGCAGTTCCTGGCTTTAAAGATAAGGAAGGGGTAAATGTTTCTGACCTTCCCCTTAGGCCTTACCTTTGGCCCACTGAGGAAAGAACTTTCTCTTCTACGATTAGGGCCTTTTCTCTTTGTATTCACATACTAGCTTCTCTCCATGAGAAGAACTGTTTGATAGTAAGACTTGTTGAGCTACATTTTACCAGTAGGCATAGTTACTGCGTTGCATGTGTACCTGTGAGCATGACTTCTGGTTTTTCTGTAACTGAGTATGTGAGGAAATTCCAGCCATACTGCCAATGCAACTACGGATACAGGAAGCTACTTTAGCCTTGCGATAAAGCAGTATTCTTCAGTCAAGCTTTAAGAAAGCATTGAGTAAAGAAAGTGGCATTTTATTTCTCACATGGCTACTAATCCTTTTGGTTCATGGCTCCCCAAGAGAGGAAGAGAATAAATGGGTTTAAGAACCAAGCCCACTCTCATAACCCTAATAAACTCCTACTGTTCTTTAGCATTCAGTTCAAGCACTGCTTCTTCTGGAAAATGTCATTATTAGCTCACCCATTTTGTATTAGGTTCTCCTTATGTAGAACTGGTATCATTTCTCCTATTCATGTTTTGGTTTGACACTTTCTCCCAGTAGTCATGAAGCTCTTTAGAACAGGGAAGAGAAAGGTCTTCCATTCAAAATGTTGACATATGGCAGGGTCTCAATCAATATTTGTCAAATGAATTAGTATCCTGCATACATTAAAAATTTTAGGGATATACGAGTGTGTGTGTGATGTGTGTTTATGCAACATCCTGGCCACCCCATACACATTCTTCTAAAACAAACAAACAGCCAAAACCTAGATAAGGATTTTAAAGTTATACTCTAAATCCAAAAGTTCAGATGCGAAGGGTATGACTTGAGTTGAATAGAAAACTAGTGATATTTTGGGGGGAGGAGGGGATGGGTATATACAAACATAATGAGTGAGATGTGTAACTTTTGGGGGATGGTCACCCTTGAAGCTCTGACTCGAGGGGCATGGGCAATATATGTAACCTTAACATTTGTACCCCCATAATATGTTGAAATAATAAAAAAATGGAAAAAAAGAAAACTAGTGATATTTTATTATTTACTAAGGAAATAATATATTTATGTCATGTAACAAAGGTTTTGCTAATTGACAAACATTTTGAATTTGTAACAGAAAAATAAATACTATTAGGTTTGACATTCTGAAATATCAGTTTTAAAATCTGTATGAAAAATTATTATTAATGCCACCAAAAAAGCAACACTGAAATCTTGGTACTATTATTCAATATAAGAGATTTAATGCACTACAGATATCTTGGAAAAATGAATAATTATACAGGAATTACATATAGAAATATCTATTTATATACCTTCATAGTCACTATTGAGTTTGGCTTCCAGTTCTGCTATCTTGTGTCTTATTTCAAGCAATGAGAGTTGCACTACTTCCCTGTTATTAAAAATAATTTTTGTTAATTAAGATTCAATTAAAAATAATAAAAGAAAAATAGTACATAGTAACCCCCCACTACTTCAGGAACAATTTATTATGAAACACCATTTATTGAAGGCATGGTTGAGAATCAGGAATTAGGCAAATAAAAACTGATTAGCCCGTTCCAGAAGGAGGCAAATGTGTACCAAAGCTGAAATCCCCCCAGGAAACCACTGGAAATTCTTTACTCTTAACTTAAATATGATCCCAAAGGAGATGGTTATCTGGTTTTTCAGAACCCAGCAAATTAGGAGCTTCAAATTATTATAGAAAGGAATAGCTAGGGCAATAGGCAACAATCGACAACTTGGAACAAAGAGAAAAAAAAAACACTAATAAAAAATGTTAGCTCTTCAGGACATCAGTAAATAGCACATTAATTAGCATAATGATGACAGAATCATCTATTCAATAAATATTTTTGCAAGCCTATTATGTTCAAGACATTGTGCTAAGTGTTGAAAAATATTATAGTGAACAAGTGAACAGAAAAATAGCAATAGCAACAGCAAAAGTCCACTGAATGCTTATTACAATACATTTCACTCCATCCTGGGACCAACAGCAGGAGGTATAACTATTTGTCTACCAATCTTAGAGTTGAGAAAATGGAGGCTTAAAGAAGTTAATTAACTTGTCCAAGAACGTAGAGTTACTGAGTGATAAGAGATGGGATTTGAATTTATGCAGGATTCTTCTTAAGTGCTTACTCTTATCCTTCCTCAGGGAATGAATACACAGAACCTGTCCTCAGAATGTTTATGGTTTGGTACAAGAACGAGAAATAGGCAGTTAAAATAGTGTGACTGGAGCTACGACAGAGGAAAACATAGGGTGCTGATAACGGGACACAAGGATTGTCTAATTCTCGTGGGGCCTATGGGTGGGGTTGGAAGTAGCCTAAAAAAAAATACATTCCATTATACTGACATAATACACTCCATTTGATTTGATCCTATCGGCAGAACACCCTACCTCAAAACCAGCCTATTCATAATATCAAAAGTTTAGTCAAAGAGTCAAATGAATCTTTCGCATAAAATACTGTTTTTGGAAGTCGCCCCGTGTCGCCAGGTACTAATCATGACGCAGGTCTCACATCGACCTCAGTGGCTTTTGCCACGAGTGGCACGAGCCGGCGCTGGCCCTGAGCGCCGCCCCAGGTGAGGCCTCCCTGCGCGCGAACGGCTCCCACACCGCGCCGGGGGGGCGCGCGCGCCGCACCCCGACTCACTTCAAGTGGATTTCTTCCAGCAACTCCATTTTAAGGCGGTCGGTGCTCACACCGTCGAAGCTGTCGCCTTTTCCTTCCCCCATAGTGTCAGGTCAGAGACTTCCCGCGTCCTTCCCCTCACAACAGCTCAGGGCAGAAGCCTTGAAACAAGCAGAAGCCAGAAACTACTAGAAGCGAAGGAGGAGAATGTGTGGTCACAAGCCGTCACCATGGCGAACTGCCTCACAGTCGCGGGAACCCGCGTCGGGCCCGCCGCGGCGCGCCGTGACGTCATAAGGCGTCACTCGCCGACCGCAGAGGGCAAGGCTGCTGGAACAGAAAGAACGCGCTCTCTGTCCAGGGGAACCCCTGGGGAGCAGCCTTCTCACAAGCTGGAGGGGACACATCTTGCTCTGGTCAGCCAGAAGGGATGTGCTCGGGCTACACAGCTGAGTGTAAGGCGGTCGAGAATATCCATCTCCTTTATCTTGCCTCCTGCCGGCCTCTGTTGCTTTCCTAAACACTGCCCTGTGCCCGAAGTCTCCTTTACTCTTAGCCCTCGTTAGGGATATGCGGGATCCAAGGGTCGCTGCGCCTTTCTTTGATGCTCTGGTTGGGAGTGTAGTACGAGAAAGAGCTGGGCTTTAAAAGGTACTGCCTGAACACATGAAGACCTCTGAGTCTCCAGTCCAGGTTACTCTTTTTTAAATGTGTGTACTGTTCACGAACATACGTCAAAGCTGCTCTCTGCAACTTGAAATTTCCTTATACTTTTAATCACAAAATTTGCATTCTACTCCTGATACATCTCTGTTTTAATATCCCTCGCCTCGCCCCCCGCCCCATCCATCTTAGGGTGGAAAGATTCACGTATTTTACCATATGACTTCTATAGTACATTTTTCTTAATTTGAGAAGTGTGCGTCTGGGACCATGTTTTCTGGCAGAAATCAGCACAAGTGTTCTGTTTGGTTAATTCCTTTCTTTTGTTTCGTCTCTAGTGCTGAGAAGAGTGGCTCTTAGAAGTTAGTAAACGTGTTATTAATATATGCCTCTGGAAGGAAAATCTTTCAAAAATAAAAAGCATATTTGGTTAAATGTTTACTTGGTTGCTGCTGAGGGTCTCCCACCCAGGCTGGAGTGCAATGGCACAGTCATAGCTCACTGCAGCCTTGAATGCATGGGCTCAAGACATCCCCCCACCTCAGCCTCGTGACTTGCTGGAACTACAGGCAGGAGCCACCATGCCCAGCTCCACATGCCTTCTTGGTGTAACACCATCTACTCTTCCTCTTTGCCTCACCTAGAGACTTCATAGTCACTGCTCGCCTACTGACTTTGACAACGAAAGTGACTTTCCACCATAAGTCTTGCCATACTCTTTGCAACTGGACTTCCAAATGGCTGAGCCTGTTCTACAACCTTCAACTCAAAACTTATCACTTTCATCTCCACTCCACCCACTTCCACAGCCATACTCTCAATCTTGTCACTGAGAGTGGCCTTACCTTAGACACCTTCAATTCAAAAACTACTGTCTGCCAAAGTCTCCTATCCTTTCAGTTCCAAACTCGGTTACTTCCTAAACAGCAGTGTTTGACTAACTAGGAACATCATCTGGGGAGCTTGTTAAACAAATTCTGGGACTCTATCCTGTGTTTCAGAGATCTTCATCCATAACACACTGTTTGCTCTCTACCTGGCTTCCAAATTTGTCTTCTAAAATTCAACAATAGATTGGAGTGATTGGGAAGTGGAGTACACTTTCTCCCACTAATAACTTTCCTCCAATGGAAACTTTCCTCCACCTGGAAGAGCCCCCCAGGTGAACAAGTTGTTTCTTCATGTATGACAATTCTTTGCATAAAATATATTTTAAGACATTATTTCAGACCTCTTTCTTCATTTGATCTGTCTTAAATATTTTTATGCATGTTTCTGGATCTTTTAAATACATTGTGAAAAGTTTATTTTTGGAGAAAAACAAGCTATCAGAAATCCATGAAATGTTCTCTTTGAATTATCTGTTGCTAAAGTAAATACAAAATGATAAAAACTCATAAGGAAGTCTGTTTTAAAACATCGAATCTTTTGTTTGGTTAGAAAGGACAAGAGAACCAGTTTGTGTTTGAGCTGAGTTTTATTTATCAGACTTACCTGGGAAGTAGAATAGAAAATGATTACTATCTAACAAGCCTTCAGCCCGGCTTTTCTTAGTGTTGAGCAGAATACCATTCACCAGTTATTAATTCCAGGGAAGGACTCTAAACACTTCTGTCTATGAAACCTTGGTACTGGAGTTGCCAAGAAAAACACAACACAGTCAAGCACTGGATGGAGTAACACATTACTTAAATGGTGAAGTGACAGAGCAAGATCACCTCCAATCACGTGCATGAATTTCTCATGGCTAGTGGGTCACGCGGGGAGGAGACACAGGGCAATTTACCAATGTGCACCTCTCTTGTGCTGCAGTGAAAATACCCCTCCCCCTCTCTCCATGGAATCTGAAATATTGAAAACTGGGGATGTGCCTGAGGGCCATGGGACACCTGCTTAAGCAGAACAAAGGGACATTCATTGAGTCTAAAACAGGGAAAGATACTCCCACACAAGGCACATGCTGTGTAGGCTATTTATCTTATAAGGAAGTGTTCAGGCTCAAGGCCCATTCTTATGTGGTCAAGCAGGGATCAAAAGACTGTGCACATGAGGTTGCCTTCCCCAACATACAGTTTACCCTAAAATACCTATGAATATAGAAGACAAGACAAAAGCTCACAGTATCGTCAGAATCTAGGACAGATGACCTATTGTTAATATCTTGGGAAATTTTCTGCCAACTATCAAGCTAACAGAATTGTAATTAAAAAAATACCAATAGTGTTAAGCAGCTGAAATCAGGGGGAATCTATAAAGACCATATCTTAGTCCATTTTCTGTTGCTCAGAATACCTGAAACTAGGTAATTTATAAGATATGAAATTTATTTCTTATGGTTCTAGGAGCTGGGAAGTCCAAGGTCAAGGGGGTATATCTGCTGAGAGCCTTCTTGCTGGTGGGGACTCACTGAAGTGTTCCAAGGCAATGAAAGGTATCCCATGGCTACTGGCCTCAGTGTGGTAACATGCTAGCTAACTCAAGTCTCTATTCCTCTTCTTATAAAGCCACAAGTTCCTCCCCCCACCATGAAAACCCATTAGTCTATTAACCATTAATCTATTAACACATGAATGGGTTAATTCATTCATGAAAGCAGAGCCCTCTTATAATCCAATCACCTGTCAAAGGCCCCCACCTCTTGATACTGCCACCTTTAGAATTAAGTTTCAACGTGAATTTTGGAGGGGACATTCAAAACATAGCAGACAATTTGTCTTTCCCTATCTACATCAATTTACAAAACACAAGACTGGCCTAACAATCACACTACTGTGTAGGTCCCTCCTTTCTGAGGCAAGTATGTGACCTCTTTTTTCCCCTTGTTAATACTGTTCTCTTTGATCTTGAGCAAGTTACTTAACCTTTCTGTGCCCCAGTTTCTTATTCTGTAAAATGAGAATTCTAATAGTATGCACCACATAGGAATGTTGTCAGGGTAAAATAAGTTAATCCTGAGACAGAGCAGGGACCCCTTTTACCCTACCAAGCATGGAATAATCTTGAGTCCTTTCAAGGGAAATTCCAGGCACCTAGCTAGCCTTGAAAAGTAAATGAACAACCTGATAATCAAGGAGTTAGTAACAGTAGTCCCCCAAGCAAGCCAGAGTCACGAAGTATTTTGGTTTTCTATAAAAACTAAAAGATCACTTCTTAACATATGTTTTTGAGTTGTTTTTCAGAAACCCCCACCAGATGGAAAATGCTGACCCAATATAACATATATCTCAGATAAGAGGGAACTGAGGACTGAACTCTGACTGCCATTCTTTCCTCTAAATTTCTTCTAGAGGGCCCAAGAGAAAGTCACACCCACAGACAAAACCAATGAATTACCTCTACATAGTGGTTTACAATTTTGCTTACAACTTCTGCTTTCTTGAAATGTACCCTTGCTTGTAAGCCATTGGGGTGTAAAGAGAGAATCACAGCCTCAGGCACTTGTGAAGAACTGGCCCCACAGAGCTTTCATTAAGGAAATTTCTTGCTAACCTCCCATAAGCAAGGACATGCAAATTACACTGATGTCTACCACCTAAAACTAAAGCCTATCTGATTGCATACTAATAATGAATTACAAGTTTATCTTAAAAGTACCAGAACTGGAGATGAGATAGAATCAGACATTCATTGACCTATCCAGGGACATCTACATAATTGATGCTTCCTTTACTCCCTTATTTTATGTAAAATGTAGGTTTCTTGGGCCTCAGAAGAATGTAGCCACTACCTCATCAGACCACCCTCCTCCCTGCCTTTTTCCTTCTCTGTATGCCTTTAAAATGCCTAAGGTTTCAGTCTCCCTTTTGGAAAAACAGCCACAGCTTGTCTACAATTTGTGTTTTCCTGGGCGTGTCCTCAAAATCATGGCTTAATAAACCTCTGTTGATTGTGATGTTTTGCCTCAGTCATTTATTTGGAATGATAGGGGATTTGGGGTCTTTAAATTTTTTTTTAATTTCAAAATATTATGGGGGTACAAATGTTTCTGGTTACATGTTTCAATTTTGTTACGCTTAGTCAGAGTTATAAGTGTGCCCAGCACCTAGATAGTGTTCATTGTACCTGTTAAGTAGGTTTTTTCCCCATCTCCTCCTTCTCCCCCTCCATGCTTGATTTTCGCTGAGTTTTACTTCACTCTATGCACATGTGTGCTCATCCATTAGTTGTAACTTAATAGAAAGTACATGTGGTGTTTGTTTTTCCATTCTTTAGATACTTCACTTACGAAATGGTCTCCAGTTCCATCCTAATTGTTGCAAATGGCATTAAGTCATACTTCTTCATGGCTGAGTAGTACTCCATGGTATACATATACCACATTTTGCTAATCCACTCATGAATTGATGGGCATTCATATTGACTCCACATCTTTGCAATTGTGAATTGTGCTACAATAAATATTCCAGTACAGGTATCTTTTTGATAAAATGACTTATTTTCCTAAATACCCAGTAGTGGGATCACTGGACCAAATGGTAGGTCAACTTGTACTTCTTTGAGGAATTTCCATACTGTTTTCCATAGAGGTTGTACTAATATGCAGTCCCACCAATATTGTATAAGTGTTCT